CCCATACAAAGGTTATGTTGAAAATCACTAAAAGTGGGTTAACCGACTAACGAAAAACGTCAAAAACAGTAAATTTTACGGAAGAAATGGCAGAAGGAAGCTGCACCCAGGCTTTTTTTTAAATTGAAAATGGGCGTGGCGTCGCCCACTTATGGACCAAAAACCATATCTCAGGAAATACTCTACCGATTTCAATGAGATTCGATACATAATATTTTCTTAACACCCTGATGACATGTACGAAATATGTGTTAAATCGGTTCACAACCACGCCTTCTTCCAATATAACGCTATTTTGAATTCCATCTGATGCCTTCTCTGTATAATATATACATTAGGAACTAATGATGATAGCGGAATAAAACTTTACACAAATACCGTATTTGATGCGAGAGTATAAAATGTTCGGTGACACCCGAACTTAGCCCTTCCTTATTTGTTTTACATTCATAGAGAGCACCACTGGCCTTTTTCTCCTTTGATAACTTTAACAACGAATCTGAGGCATCTTATTGAAAGGACAAGTATTGGCTTGTTGAACGTCTTCGTAACCCTTCAAGAAAAACAACCCCTTCAAACAGTCAAAAATAGACAGTAATAATAGAGAATATAACAAGTTATAATATATATTATATACAATACTTAAAACCGTGTCATTTTATGTACATATATCGATTAATTTACCTAGCGAATGGCCATTTAAAATTCATTACTGTGAGTTTGAAAACAGCTGTTTTCCACAAATAGAGTTTTATATACATATACTTATAGCTATATGTATACAGAAATTTGCCTTTTACATAGGTGAATATACAAGTATATAGTATACAAAGTGCATTCCAAAGTAAACAGGACTTCGAAAAAAAAAAATAAAACATAAATGTTTTTTTCTGCAAAATCAATTTATTTTATTCAAAATAGTCTCCTTTTGCTTCAATACAGTTTTTTGCACGGTCCAAAAGCATGTCGAACGAGTGTTTTAGCTCGTTGGCCAGTATGGCCGCCAGTATGCTGATGCAAACCTTTTGAATGGCCTCTACGTCTTTATAACGCTTTCCTTTCATGGGCATAATGCATTTTTCCGAAAAGGAAGCAGTCGCACGGTGCCATATCAGGTGAATACGGAGAGTGGTTAATGGTTAAAATGTGATTTTTGGTCAAATAATCGGCCACAAACGTTGATCGAATGTTGGATTGCACACAACTCTCGTAAGCTCAGATGTTCGCTCAAAATTACATAAATCGATATTTTGGAGATGTTGAACTCCATTTCCATGAATTTCAATGATGATTTCGGTTGATTTTTGATGAATTCACGCACAGTTTCGAATGAATTTTCGGAGATCACGGATTTTGATTGGACCACATGTCGATCGTCAAGACCACTTTGAAAACGTTAAAACCACTCGTACACTCTGCTAAGGGATAGGTAATGTGATTTTAGCAATTGCAACGTTTCGGTAAAAGCTTTACCAATTTTAAAACAAAATTTAATGTTGGCTCTTTGTTCGAAGCCCATTTTCGCACCGACAAGACAAACATACTTACACTGAAAACGTGGTAACTTCACTTCCCATAAATGAAATGTCATGAATCACTCACTGGATAATCGAGAAAGATAACAGATTCTAACGCACCAGTCGACATATAGGTGGCGCTAGATTCAAAACGTTCTGTTTACTCTGGAAAGCACCTTGTATATTAGAATGGTTCAGACAACCGGTTTTTTTTTTGTTTTTTTTGCTTCGTACTCCGAAAAATACGTTCTTAGACACCTAAGACACCTATAAGAAAGTTTTTCCAAGTACGAACTCTTAATTGTAATTGAAAGGCTTACAGCTTTATATTTTTTCTAATTATCAGATAGAAAAATTCATATCTACCTTCCAACTCCAGCTACCATGATAGCAGCCACCTGCGCTTGAAAGATCTTCTTTAAAGAGTGCTCAGTTATTTAAATTTATCTATTAGGAATTGATGAGGGGTACACGAAAGTATTTAACTGACGTTTTTACTGTAAAATTTATGTACAGCTTTATATTGGTGTATTTTTTTTTTCAATTTTCCGCCTCAAATCGTTCCTTGATCGCTTGACATACATTTATCTTGGATTTCCCACACATCCGGAAATAACAAAACGCGAATACAAACATATAATCTGTAGACAGATTTCTATGTTAATACATAAATATGTATATATGACGGCGTTCAAGTAGCCTTTGCCTATCTGTTGAATTGTGATTGGCATCAACATGCACATTTCCATTAAACATCATCATCAATAACAATTTGCGCAATTACAAATGAATTAAATACTTACGATCTCAAATATTTGTAGATGCTCATGTATCAGCCATACATACATACATGCATATTAGAGCGGGTCGTTTTGCACCCAAAAAAAAAACCGGAAAAATCGCTTATGCGGAAAATGTTCTGCGAATTTTCTTCTTCTTCCTTAATGACGTTGATAACGCTTACGCGATTAGCAAGACCATGCTCTCTATAATGGTAATCTTCCTCTGTCTCATTCGGCGGGAACTGCATCGAATACTTTCAGAGCTGGAGTATTTTCATCCATAAGCACCCAACGTAACCGCAGTCTCTTAATCCACTGAACTATATCAATGCGATCGTATAACTCATACAGCTCATCGTTCCATCGAATGCGATATTCGCCGTTGCCTTTACGCAAATGACCATAAATCTTCCGCAGAACCTTTCTCTCGAAGCTCGTAATGTCGACTCATCAGATGTCGTCCATGCCTCTGAACCATATAGCTGGACGGGAGTAATGAGTGAGTGTTGGCAAGTGTTATTCTGCGTTGGATTTCGAGGCTGACATA